CCATTTAACATACACCACAAAACCCCTGAGCCCTTTACTTGTGCTGGTGAAAGTAGCTCTGTTGTTCCAGGTGGGATCATTGCTGTGCCTGTGTGTGTCTGTGCCTGTGTCCATGTCCCCCCCCAGCTGTTCCTTGCCCCCCAAGCTCTGTCCTGTAGCTCCACTGGCTCCTCTCCTCCTCCCTACAAACACCCCACAGACACACTGAGACCCTCTAGTAATGCTTGCTTTTTATTTTTTTTTTCTCCTCTCTCTTCCGCCCTTTTTATATTTTTACTTTCTTTTTTTTTTTTTCTTTGTGATGTGACGTTTTCAGCTGATGTATTGAAAGCAAACCCTTCTAATTTTGGAGTCCAGATCACAAGAGTGAGTTTCTTTCTACTGGTGTCTGTAGCTGTCATTTCTTTTTGTGTGTCCTCCCCTCTGGTTTTGGGTAACGCCTAGCTCCTCTGCCTCCTCTCCTCCTCCCTAGAAACACCCCTCAGACACACCGAGAGCCTCTAGTAATGCTTGCTTTTGATTTTTATTTTTTTCTTCTCTCTCTTCTGCCCTTTTTATATTTTTACTTTCTTTTTTTTTTTCTTTGTGATGTGACGTTTTCAGCTGATGTATTGAAAGCAAACCCTTCTAATTTTGGAGTCCAGATCACAAGAGTGAGTTTCTTTCTACTGGTGTCTGTAGCTGTCATTTCTTTTTGTGTGTCCTCCCCTCTGATTTTTGGGTAACGCTCCACCACGTTTAGTAAATACCATTAGGTAAGAGAATCCTCTGTCTCGTCAAATCTCCCCCAATTTTCACAAAGCAATGTTCTCTTTACATTGGGTCAACTTCATTCCTCTAATTTGAGCTTTGGGATAGTTTTCAGATCCACTCTTTTGGTGGGTACTGGTCTGACTGGGCTCCGTTAAAGAGGCAGAGTCAGTCAGCCAGGAGGGAGATATTTAGAATTCACCAATGATTTGTACATCTTGTACACAAATTTTTCTAAAGCAGCTACTGCTTTGAGTACCCTTAGTCTTTCAGGCCTTTTCATGAAAAGCCTGAAAAACATGAAACTTTTTCAAAAGCTGGGTACATGATGCTTTCTGGAATTGGGCCTTTTGAAAGGGTTTCAAATTGCCCACCAAAGAAGAAAAATAATCATCCCTTGGGAGGGTAGAGGTCTTTCTTTGCTGCTTTCTGTTATTTAAACTTCTGTATAGCGCTCTGAAAAATGCCTTGTGAAGTCTCACATGTACTCAAAGGAAAATGGGCAGCTTCTTTTCCTAGTGGCTTGAGACAAGGGGTTTCAAAAACGTTCTGAAGTCTTGGATGTTGGATTTCTGTTAGAACCGGGTACCTCGATTTCCTCAGTGACGTTACGATGCTTGAAATTCCTTGGCTTCGGGTTTACTTCCTCATACCCTGAGATTTCTGGGGAACGGAGTGTTTCTGCCCCCTAAAGTATTCAACCCCCAAATGCCCCACTGCCTTTTAGGATCAGCTTGTTTCTTGAGAGCTCGTCTCAGAACTACTGAAAAGCAAGGAGCGGTTTGTGGTGTATGTTGCATTATTTATTCGCTTACCGGGAATGGGATTTTTGGCACCTGCTCCAATGTAATTTGTACATTGCTTTTGGCAGATGGAATTCCTGGGTAACTCGTTTTCCCCAGCTCATCCCTTCCTCTTCTTTGGCTCGTGCTATTAAGACTTCTGTCACGCGCTGTGTGTCGAGTACATTTGCACCCCGCAAGAGCAGCAAAGGAAACAGTCTTTTTTCCTCCTTCCCCTCTCCTTCCCCTCTCCTTCCCCTCTCCTTCCCCTCTCCTTCCCCTCTCCTTCCCCTCTCCTTCCCCTCTCCTTCCCCTCTCCTTCCCCTCTCCTTCCCCTCTCCTTCCCCTCTCCTTCCCCTCTCCTTCCCCTCTCCTTCCCCTCTCCTTCCCCTCTCCTTCCCCTCTCCTTCCCCTCTCCTTCCCCTCTCCTTCCCCTCTCCTTCCCCTCTCCTTCCCCTCTCCTTCCCCTCTCCTTCCCCTCTCCTTCCCCTCTCCTTCCCCTCTCCTTCCCCTCTCCTTCCCCTCTCCTTCCCCTCTCCTTCCCCTCTCCTTCCCCTCTCCTTCCCCTCTCCTTCCCCTCTCCTTCCCCTCTCCTTCCCCTCTCCTTCCCCTCTCCTTCCCCTCTCCTTCCCCTCTCCTTCCCCTCTCCTTCCCCTCTCCTTCCCCTCTCCTTCCCCTCTCCTTCCCCTCTCCTTCCCCTCTCCTTCCCCTCTCCTTCCCCTCTCCTTCCCCTCTCCTTCCCCTCTCCTTCCCCTCTCCTTCCCCTCTCCTTCCCCTCTCCTTCCCCTCTCCTTCCCCTCTCCTTCCCCTCTCCTTCCCCTCTCCTTCCCCTCTCCTTCCCCTCTCCTTCCCCTCTCCTTCCCCTCTCCTTCCCCTCTCCTTCCCCTCTCCTTCCCCTCTCCTTCCCCTCTCCTTCCCCTCTCCTTCCCCTCTCCTTCCCCTCTCCTTCCCCTCTCCTTCCCCTCTCCTTCCCCTCTCCTTCCCCTCTCCTTCCCCTCTCCTTCCCCTCTCCTTCCCCTCTCCTTCCCCTCTCCTTCCCCTCTCCTTCCCCTCTCCTTCCCCTCTCCTTCCCCTCTCCTTCCCCTCTCCTTCCCCTCTCCTTCCCCTCTCCTTCCCCTCTCCTTCCCCTCTCCTTCCCCTCTCCTTCCCCTCTCCTTCCCCTCTCCTTCCCCTCTCCTTCCCCTCTCCTTCCCCTCTCCTTCCCCTCTCCTTCCCCTCTCCTTCCCCTCTCCTTCCCCTCTCCTTCCCCTCTCCTTCCCCTCTCCTTCCCCTCTCCTTCCCCTCTCCTTCCCCTCTCCTTCCCCTCTCCTTCCCCTCTCCTTCCCCTCTCCTTCCCCTCTCCTTCCCCTCTCCTTCCCCTCTCCTTCCCCTCTCCTTCCCCTCTCCTTCCCCTCTCCTTCCCCTCTCCTTCCCCTCTCCTTCCCCTCTCCTTCCCCTCTCCTTCCCCTCTCCTTCCCCTCTCCTTCCCCTCTCCTTCCCCTCTCCTTCCCCTCTCCTTCCCCTCTCCTTCCCCTCTCCTTCCCCTCTCCTTCCCCTCTCCTTCCCCTCTCCTTCCCCTCTCCTTCCCCTCTCCTTCCCCTCTCCTTCCCCTCTCCTTCCCCTCTCCTTCCCCTCTCCTTCCCCTCTCCTTCCCCTCTCCTTCCCCTCTCCTTCCCCTCTCCTTCCCCTCTCCTTCCCCTCTCCTTCCCCTCTCCTTCCCCTCTCCTTCCCCTCTCCTTCCCCTCTCCTTCCCCTCTCCTTCCCCTCTCCTTCCCCTCTCCTTCCCCTCTCCTTCCCCTCTCCTTCCCCTCTCCTTCCCCTCTCCTTCCCCTCTCCTTCCCCTCTCCTTCCCCTCTCCTTCCCCTCTCCTTCCCCTCTCCTTCCCCTCTCCTTCCCCTCTCCTTCCCCTCTCCTTCCCCTCTCCTTCCCCTCTCCTTCCCCTCTCCTTCCCCTCTCCTTCCCCTCTCCTTCCCCTCTCCTTCCCCTCTCCTTCCCCTCTCCTTCCCCTCTCCTTCCCCTCTCCTTCCCCTCTCCTTCCCCTCTCCTTCCCCTCTCCTTCCCCTCTCCTTCCCCTCTCCTTCCCCTCTCCTTCCCCTCTCCTTCCCCTCTCCTTCCCCTCTCCTTCCCCTCTCCTTCCCCTCTCCTTCCCCTCTCCTTCCCCTCTCCTTCCCCTCTCCTTCCCCTCTCCTTCCCCTCTCCTTCCCCTCTCCTTCCCCTCTCCTTCCCCTCTCCTTCCCCTCTCCTTCCCCTCTCCTTCCCCTCTCCTTCCCCTCTCCTTCCCCTCTCCTTCCCCTCTCCTTCCCCTCTCCTTCCCCTCTCCTTCCCCTCTCCTTCCCCTCTCCTTCCCCTCTCCTTCCCCTCTCCTTCCCCTCTCCTTCCCCTCTCCTTCCCCTCTCCTTCCCCTCTCCTTCCCCTCTCCTTCCCCTCTCCTTCCCCTCTCCTTCCCCTCTCCTTCCCCTCTCCTTCCCCTCTCCTTCCCCTCTCCTTCCCCTCTCCTTCCCCTCTCCTTCCCCTCTCCTTCCCCTCTCCTTCCCCTCTCCTTCCCCTCTCCTTCCCCTCTCCTTCCCCTCTCCTTCCCCTCTCCTTCCCCTCTCCTTCCCCTCTCCTTCCCCTCTCCTTCCCCTCTCCTTCCCCTCTCCTTCCCCTCTCCTTCCCCTCTCCTTCCCCTCTCCTTCCCCTCTCCTTCCCCTCTCCTTCCCCTCTCCTTCCCCTCTCCTTCCCCTCTCCTTCCCCTCTCCTTCCCCTCTCCTTCCCCTCTCCTTCCCCTCTCCTTCCCCTCTCCTTCCCCTCTCCTTCCCCTCTCCTTCCCCTCTCCTTCCCCTCTCCTTCCCCTCTCCTTCCCCTCTCCTTCCCCTCTCCTTCCCCTCTCCTTCCCCTCTCCTTCCCCTCTCCTTCCCCTCTCCTTCCCCTCTCCTTCCCCTCTCCTTCCCCTCTCCTTCCCCTTCATCCCCCTACTTGCCCAGGAGCTTGGTACTTCTACCTGTATGGGCTGTCGACCCTTTCTCCCTCCCCTCTCCCTCCCCTCTCCCTCCCCTCTCCTTCCCCTCTCCTTCCCCTCTCCTTCCCCTCTCCTTCCCCTCTCCTTCCCCTCTCCTTCCCCTCTCCTTCCCCTCTCCTTCCCCTCTCCTTCCCCTCTCCTTCCCCTCTCCTTCCCCTCTCCTTCCCGAATTTGCTTCTTGCTTTGAAATCGGCTTTATTGTACGTGCTACAGAAAACCAGTCACCTTGACTGGAAATGCGTATAGACAGACAGATTCCAAGTTTATAGCCCAAAAGGGATCCACAGTTGTCTTCTCGTTTAGCTGCTGGGAGGCTGGTGATGTGCTCCGGGGGTTTGTTGAGCCGAGATGCTGTTGCTCCATCCTTGCTCAATAAATGTCCCCGGGGAGGGACGTACAGCGGATTTTCCAGTGCTACAGCAGTGATGCTTTCACACACTTCACCACAGACCCCTTTTTCTCTAATCCTTCCCCTCTCTCTTTTGCCTCAGAGGTTGAAAGATCTCAAGCAAAGGGAATTTGCTCGCAATGTCTCTTCGCGCTCACGGAAAGACGAGAGGAAGCAGGAGAAGGCCCTGCGGCGGCTGCACGAACTGGCTGAGCAGAGGAGGCAGCCGGAATGGTGAGTAGGGGGTGACCCCCCCAGCACCCTCAGAGCCTGCCTGGGGCTGGGACCCCGCACGCTGCTGTTCCTGCTCCCCTAATCCTGCATGGGTTTTGAGGGCAAAGCTTCACACCTGAGTTTGGCCTCATGTGGTTTTGGGAGAGTGAGCTCACTAAAATCATAGAATCATAGAATTGCCCAGGCCAGAAGGGACCTCCAAAGGCCATCTAGTCCGACCCCCCCGCAGTCAGCAGGGACACCCCCAACTAGACCAGGTTGCCCAGGGCCTCATCAAGCCTCTCCTTGAATATCTCCAGAGCATCCCCCAGTTCCTTTAGCCAGCTATATGAGTTTTCTTCCGTTATTTAATATTATTAAAAAGTTAAAATGGCTGTATAATGCTATTTTATGGATATTTCTGCATAGAAGAGTACTTGAAAAATGTAAAAGGCTGTTTTAGATAGGCATGAATGAGGTGGTCGAATGGCATTCAGCTCTTTTCTCTGTCCCTGCAGCGCTCCTGGAAGCGGCCCCATGTTCAGAACCACCACGGTGGCTGTGGATGAGGAAGGTGGAGACGATGATGACTCTGCAGCCAACAGCAGCTCTTTCATGCAGACCACTTCTGGCCAAGGTACGGAGATGACTACGGACAGAGGTTTCCTCAACACCGGCCAAGTGGGTGGCACGGTTACGCCAGGCCAGATGCCCCTCCAGGCAGCACAAGCCGTCAGCTTTGGCATTAAGAGCACTTTGGGGACTCCTCTGCAGAAGATCGGCGTGTCCTTCTCCTTTGCCAAGAAGACTCCGGTCAAGCTGGAGACCATCGCTTCTGTTTTCAAGGACCACGTGGACGAATCGAGTTCTGCGGACGGAGCAAAAGGTGATGAGAGAGGGTCCTCAGATGGGGGGAGCCTGCAGAAATCTGGGGAGGGGGAAGGCACAAATAACTCCGACGGGAAGGCGGAGGACGATGAGCAACACGACAAAGACAGCGGGTCTCTGGCCACGACCTTGTCTAAACTGAAAAAGATGAGGCGAGAAGACGGACCGACGGCAGTCGAACCCGAATATTACCACTATATTCCCCCAGCCCACTGTAAAGTAAAGCCTAATTTTCAATTCCTCCTTTTCATGAAGTCTACCGAACAGATGGAAGCTGAAAATGTGAACAAAAAAAACACCCATGAAGTAAAAAAAGGTAGTTCTCCCAAACCCAAACCCGGCAAACACCTGGAGAAAGCTGCTGAGGGCACGGGGCAGCAGAAGGAGCAGAGCACGGCTGAAACGGCGGCTCAGCAGAGCAAAACAGAGCTGAAGGAAATCCCAGAAAACACAGGTATTCAGGAGAGCAAACATCTTCCAGAGAGCAGCCTCCCCGAGCCAGACACCCCTAAAGAAGTCCCTCAGCCTGTCCCAAGCTGCAAAGATGTCACTGAAGGACCAAAGCATCCGACAGGACCTTTTTTCCCCGTTCTGAGTAAAGATGAGAGCACGACTCTCCAGTGGCCTTCGGAGCTCCTCATATTTACCAAAGCAGAACCCTCCGTTTCCTACAGTTGTAACCCCCTGTATTTTGATTTCAAACTCTCCCGCAACAAAGATGCTAAAGGGAAAGGGGCAGAGAAATCCAAGGATTCGGGGGGGCTTTGTAAAGAGACCCTTCCGAGCGCGGAGTCTGGTGAGATGGGCAAAGCCAAGGAGGCGGAAAGCGCCACGAACAGCTCTGCTCTGAAGACAGAAACCAAATCCCTGTCGGCCTGTGGCTCCCAGAACAAGCAGGAGCCCGGTTTGACAGGGGTTAGTAAGGAGGAGGGAGAGGAGGGCAGCAAAAGCCTGACGGGGAAGAGTAAATCTGGAAGGTCCCATAAACACAAAAAGAAAAAGAAGCACAAAAAATCCGGCAAACACAAACGTAAACACAAGGAGGAAGCTGAAGAGAAGAGTCGAAAAACTGACCCGGGGGAAGAGAAACCCAAGAAACGGAAAAGACACAGGCACAAAAAAGGCAAATCCTCTTTCTGCACCGAGTCAGAACGGGCGCTGAAAACTGAGCTGGCTGAAGACTGTGGCCATTTCCAGAAGAAGAAGTGGTGTTTGCAGGAGACCCAGAGGAAGTCTCTGTCTGCAGAGGAGGGGAGCAGCGGTAAAAAAGAGGAGGGTGGTAACTCCTGCCAAGAGCATGGGGGCAAGAAACACAAGGCTGACCCCCAGCAGGTACCTGCTGCCAGGAGAAGGTGTTCGGCCCCTTCCCTGGGCAGGAGCGGGCGCAGGAGCCGGCAGAGCAGCGGGGACTACGACAGCGAGGAGGGCTCTCACGGCAAGCGGTGCCGGCAGAAATCCCCCTCCCAGTACAGCGACGACTACGACTCCGGCAGCGACCGCTCCAGGAGCCGCTCCAGGTCGGGACGGAGACATTCCTCCCGCAGGTCCTACTCCTCCAGCTCGGACGCTTCCTCCGACCGCAGCCGCTACAGCCGGCGCAGGAGTTACTCTGACGACAGCTACAGCGACTACAGCGACCGCTCCCGCTGCCGTTCCAAGCGCTCCCACGACTCGGAGGACGACTCCGACTACAACAGCTCCAATCACAGATCCAAACGGCGCAAGTATTCCTCTTCCGAGGACGACTACAGCTCGAGCAGGAGCAGGTCGAGGAGTCGAAGCAGGAGCCGAACCCACCCTCGGAGCAGGTCGAGGACGAGGAGCCGGGGCAGGACACGCAGCAGCAGCTGCAGCCGCAGCCGCAGCAAGAGGAGAAGCCGGAGCGTAACGGGTCGCAGCTGGAAACGGAGCCGCAGCTACAGCAGGGACCGCAGCCGCAGCACCAGGAGCCACTCCCAGAGGTCTCTCTCCCGAAAGGGCTCTCGAGGCCACGAGAGCCCCGAAGAGAGGAGATCAGGGAGAAGAGACTTCATCAGGTCCAAAATCTACCGCTCGCAATCTCCTCACTATTTCCGGACGGGCCGAGGTGAAGGATCGTCGCTGAAGAAGGAGGACGGCAAAGGAGAGGATGGGAAAGGATCTGGCTCCCTCTCCCAAAACAGCAGCAGCTCCGGCACGGGGAGGGCGTCGGAAGGTGACTGCAGCCCCGAGGAGAGAAACTCCGTCACTGCCAAACTCCTCCTGGAAAAGATTCAGTCCCGGAAGGTTGAGAAGAAGCCTTGTGTTGCGGAGGAGATGCTGGCAGGAGCAAACAAGGTGGGCATCAAGCTCAAAGATCCTCCCCAGGGCTACTTCGGCCCCAAACTTCCTCCTTCCTTAGGCAACAAACCCGTTCTCCCTTTAATTGGGAAACTGCCAACCGTTCGAAAACCCAACTCCAAGAGATACGAAGATTCCGGTTTGGAGAGGGGTGAGGACCAAGAGCTGTCGGATTCCGAGGAGGTGTCCCAGGGCATCGAGGAGGGTTCGTTGGGCGGCCAGTCTCTGCTGGAGGAAGTGGTCATGGTCATTCAGGACAAACCTCTGGAGGAGCAGAAACGCGATGACCCTGGGGTGGAAATGCCTTCCATCCCTCTGGAAGCACCGGCGCTCCCCGAGTGCTTCGGTTCTGGAGATCTGGTCATGCCACACAACTTCCTCTCGGATCCCAGCGACGGTGACGGGCTGGAACCTATGGACGGGGGCAACCAGCCGGTCCCAGTGGAAACCAGTATGATGCCTTTAGTTCCGGACGTCGAGCACTTTTCTGGGTACGTGCCTCAGGGCGGGGAGCCGAGCATCGAAGGGGATCGAGATGGAGGAGAAGACTCCTCTCTAGCGCCGCTCGAGAGCCAACCCATCACTTTTACACCCGAAGAAATGGAGAAATACAGCAAACTGCAGCAGGCTGCTCAGCAGCACATCCAGCAGCAGCTCCTGGCAAAGCAGGTCAAGGCTTTCCCAGCCTCGGCCGCCCTGGCTCCGGCGGCTCCTGCCCTGCAGCCCATCCACATCCAGCAGCCGGCGGCGGCCTCGGCCACCTCCATCACCACGGTGCAGCACGCCATCCTGCAGCACCACGCTGCCGCCGCCGCCGCCGCCATCGGCATCCACCCTCACCCCCATCCCCAACCCCTGGCTCAGGTTCACCACATACCCCAGCCCCACTTGACCCCCATTTCTTTATCCCATTTGACCCACTCCATTATTCCGGGTCACCCCGCTACCTTTCTAGCCAGCCATCCCATCCACATCATTCCGGCCTCTGCCATCCATCCCGGTCCTTTCACTTTCCATCCCGTTCCTCACGCTCTCTACCCGACCCTCCTGGCCCCCAGACCCGCTGCCGCCGCCGCCGCCACGGCCTTACACCTCCACCCCCTGCTGCACCCCATCTTCTCAGGGCAGGACTTGCAGCACCCCCCCAGTCACGGCACATGAAGGACGGGGAACGGAGTCACCTCGGAGGAAGGAGAATTAGTTGGTTTGTGGTTTTTTTTGGGGGGGAAAGGGAGGGGTCGAGATTGATCCAGCTCCACCAGGGGAGAATTTCCTTTTGCTCTTTCGCAGCCAAAGAAGCCGGGGGCTGGAGGGGGCTGGGTGGGGGGTCAGAGGGTGAGTCTTGTGTCCCCCCCGTGACTGGGGACCACCTTGTGTCCCCCCCGTGACCAGGGACCACCCTGTGTCCCCGACACCTCCGTGCAGGAGCAGCGCTGCCCCCGGGAGAGTCCTGTCACCTCCAGACCAGCGAGACACTCGGAAAGGCTTTTTTTGGGGTTTTTTTTTTTTACCCGGCTTGGGGGGAAGGAGGGGTTTGTTTTTCTTTTTTTTTTTTTGTGGTGGGAAATGTAAGAGAAGCCAATTCTTCTATATGTTGTCAAGCTGCACAAAAATAGACTTTCAAGGAAGATTTCTAGGCACCCCCTCCCTGGCTGCTGGGCTTGTTTGTCCCGGGGTGACCAGCAAAGGGTGGAAATAAGATTATTTTTTTGTAAAGCTGACGAGAGGAGCTCCCACCCTTCTCCATCCTGCCTGGGCAACCCCCCCTGGACATCCCCGGGGGGAGGCTCCCACTTTCAATCCATCTTCCAAGAGAAAAGAGGGGGGAAAACCATCACTCTGACTTCCATCTTCACAGTTTTGGGAAAGAGAAGAAGAATCCCTGTAGGAATTGAAGCAATACAGTCCAAGGAAGGAGCAGCAACTGAGGTTATGTCTCTCTGAAATTTTTCCAGTCTCACACACACTTAAAGTTGCCCTTAAAAAAAAAACAAAAACAAACCTCTTACCTTACATCCTCCAGGAACTTGTCCAGCTCCAACGCTGGAGATTGTGAGATATTAAAAAAAAAAAAAGAAAGAAAGAAAAAAAAAGGTTACATTTGTAGTATATACCGCAATAATATTTTTTACAGCCCATTCTTTTAGTGGTACTTGTTCTGGTGGCTTTTTGTGTAAATATGTTCTGCTGTAGGTGAGATCAGACACTTGTAAAGGTTCAACTTTCTAGTTTCAGCTCGACGCAAAACGACTAAGCATGTATATTTTACCAAGCTCATGTATTTTTGAAGTTTTTATGTACTATAAAGTGTAAAAAAAAAAAAAAAAAAAAAACACCCCTGGGTTCCTTCTTAATTTATAGGAATATTATTTTTTTTTTTTTTTTAAATGTAAAGAATTGCACTGAACTCTGTAAACAAAGATGCTGCTTTTTGTAGCTCATATATTAAAAAAAAAAAAAAGAAAGAAAGAATCTTTAGAAAACAGAAAGGGTCGAAACATGGGGGTGAGGGGGGGCTGTGTGCTCAGTGCCCCCCTGGGGCACCCACCCTGGGGGCAGGGGTTTGGGTTGGCTCCTGGAGGAGAAAATATCCCCTGCCTTTTTATTTTGTGGGGTTTTTCCCCCCCGGGTTTTTTTTTCCTGTTGTTTTTTTTTTCCTGGTGTGTTTTTTTTTTTTTT